CTCCAGAGAACGACATGCATCTGCATACCATTACATGACATCCACCATGTTTAACAGTGCTACGAAAATTTTGCGGTTGTAACGCAGCATTTGGTTTTCTCCATACATTGTTCTTTCCATCTGATCTGGTATCCATGATAGTTGACATAGGCTTCTTCATGATTTCTGGAACCCATGATGGGCACATGAGTGTAATCGATAGCCGCAGAAAACATTGAACGGTTGAGTGGTTCTGTCACGCTATGAAAACAATGGCTTACTGACGACTGACTCATGGCTATTTCCAATCATTTAATAGTGTACAAACTGAAAAAGTATTTAAGAGATATATTATTAACTGTTTCGAAGCCAACTTCTATCCAATAACCAAGGGTACCATACCTCCTCGCTATTATCGCTAAAATACTCATATACGTAGATGATGTCAAGCTCTTTAAATCAGTTCATTCTATTGAAGATAGAAAGCTTTTCCAACTTGACCTAGATAATTTAGTTAGGCGGTGCGATGCGATCTGTATGTTCCTAAATTTAAATAAGTGCAAATATATTTGTTTCTCCAGAAAATCTTTCCAATCCTTTGCCTAGCTGATACATAATCACAGAGTTGAACAGGTCACTGACTTCACTGATTTAGGTGTAACAATGGACCGTAAGCTAGATTTTAGAAATCATGTAAATGCTTGTGCTAATAAGGCAAAAGGAGTTCAAGGAATTTAAGGACCCATACATTCCCAAATTACACTTTACCTCACTTGTTGGGCCCATTTTGGAATATGGCTCAGCTGTATGGAGTCCGTACTATCAATTGTATAGTGATAAATTGGAATCTGTACAAAAGCAGTTTCTACTATTTGCCCTAAGAAATTTAAGCTGGAATGCGAACAAGAACCTACCTTCTTACAAAAATCGTTTACGGCTCATTAATCTGCCGGCACTCCATAGTCGTAGAAAGATGCTTGTAGTTTTATTTTTAACAAAATTGATAAGAGGTGCTATCAATAGCCCTTTTCTAATTAGCGAGCTTAACTTTACCATCCCGTTAAGATCAACTAGACACTTTAGGCACCTTTCATTGGGCTCGTGCAGAACAAACCTTGAAATGCACGACCTTTTTAGATTTTTGTGTAACGATTTTAATACACCTTTCCCCAACATTGACTACTCTGTCTCGCTTTTCTGTATCAAAATCTACTTGCTAAGTGCCTTAAATAATTAAATAAATTCCCTCTTCTTTTCCCCATGCAATTTGATAGCAGCTGATGAACAAATCCGTAGCTGTTTAATGCAAAAGGCAAGTCTAACCGCGACCTTACGTGATCGGTTTCGGGTTCAGGACAGTCCGTACTATTACTGGTTTTCGGTCACCGGTCTGTTGGAATTTTCGATTTCCCGCAGACGCACCACTCGGTCGGTTGGGCGGAAGGCTCGTCGTATAAAAAAAGAAAAAAAGGCATTTTAACTATCCGAAAATCGTTATAATACAATAGAGAATTCCCCTACGGATTAAGACCAAGATGTAAACAAATTCAGTTTCACAAAAAGTCTAAAATTTAATATATTTGGAAAGAGCACTGTTATTTGAATTTTACTACAAACGAATTTTGAATGACTACAAAAAAAAAAAATTTTATGCTCCTTTACATAAAGCAAATTTGATGAAGTCAAATGCAAAATCAGAAAAACACTTATTTCGGACGATTTTTAATCGTTCCCGAAACATCTGTTTTTCGAATATCTGCCCATCGTGTCGAGCGGTGGCGTTCATTAATCTTGGTATTGAAGACAAAAGAGAAATTATTTGGTACGTGACACTTCTATTAACAATGGTTTTGTGGTGCGTATTCGATTTTATTGCACGAAATACATATAACGCTTACATATATAGTACGAGTATGAAGGTACAAACAATCAAATGCCTAATGATATGTATACTCGTACATATACGTACTGGTCTACATCACATATATATAAAACATATGTGCGTGTGCGTATGTGAGTATAAAGTATAATAAATTCTAACTTTTGCCATTAATTTTAAACATTTGTCATCTGATTTTGTTAGTTTTTGTATTATTTGCTATGTACATATGTATGTATGTATGTATATGAGAGCAAGTATTGAGATTTGGGAATGCATCAAAGTGCAGCTGAGTGATTGACAGCCATCATCAATAAAATGGAATATGTACATATTTATGTATGTTTGTAGGTATGTATGCGCCTAGTCGTTTGAAGGGTGAGTGATTCCACGTTAACTTTACTGATTTAGGGTGAGTGTGCAAGTGTACGCATCTATGTGTGAGTGTGTGCGTATTAGCGGTGATCCGCTTGACTGCGATCGGCACACGCTGCTGGAACATTACGATTGAAACGCAATGTGTTACTTTGTTGTAATTTCTCTCTTTTCCTTATTGTGTGCAAAGAATTTTGCGATAAATTGCTGAACAAAAGTTTGATAAATTACTGCTAATTTTTGCTGTTGTAAGTCAATTTATTATTATTCTGTGCAAATATTGTTTTGGGAAAAATAATTATGTTAACACTAAGCAAATATATGTATGTATGTGAGACGAGATTTCACTTTATTTCAACATTTCTTTCTCAGCAGGATTCATGCGCATATGTACACACTATGTATATATGGGAGTATGTACGTGTATAGAGCGAGTATTCGCATCAGAGTATTCGTAGAGAAAAAATGTGCAGCACTTTTGCAAGAAGGCAAACCAAACATGTTTTGTTTTAGCCAAAAATCAGGCATTTGTGAAAATGGATCGCTTACAAACCGCAGAACGAGTTAAAATCGTTAAAACTAAATATCGATACTGTAAGTAGAGTGTAAAGAGGTATAGTCAAGCTTCTGGGTATGCAGTTACAGGCGTGGAGGGCTATACTCAATTCCTACTTTTCCGTTCACATCGCGCTCATTGGAAACGTGAGCAATCTTTGTGTAAGACACATTAACCAACCCGTGCCGAGTCTTCGGTCAGTACTCAAATAGTGGAAGCTTCAGTGGCGCCACTCGGACTTATTCGGTTTAAGGTTTTGCTGAATACTAAATACAGCGTCTGTTCAGCAGATTTAAACTTACTCGCCCAGCGAAGTTGTGGGCCAGATTTGGGACCTCCACCAAGAAACCAGATCCAAAGAAAAGTTCAACTAAGCCTCAAATAAGACACTTTTGATGACAACCCCCACAGCTGGCTGATGTTCTGGTAGAAATAAAGGCTGAAATTACCACCGTCCAAGAAGTGCGATGGACGGGACAAGGACGAAAGCGAGTAGATTCTTGTGACATCTACAATAATGCAACGGCTATATAGTGCTAATTCGGTGTAAGATTTGTGGTGGAAGAGACTCCGTCGTCGAATACTGGCATTCACCTTGGTGGATGAGCGTCTCGCCTTAATCCCCCTGGAAGTGAAGCTTTTTACCCAATTGTTGATTTGCGTCTACGCACCGACGGAAGAGAGGGACTATGTGACCAATACACCTTTTAAGAGCGCCTGTAAAGTAGTCGTGAGCATTTCACCGGCCAAGATATGAAAATCGTACTTGGGGACCTTAACGCCAGGGTAAGCAAAGAAGTTATCTCCCGTACAACAATGAAACCTCCCCAAATGCATTGAGGCTTTTCGATTGAGTTGGGATCCGAAATATGGTTGTCTGTAGTGCTAGATTACGACCCAGAAGAATTGATCAAGCTACTTGGCCCCTGATCGAAAATCTCAAAGCCGATCGACCATGTAGTGCAATCACAAGAGACTGCCGAATGGTCTTCTACTCGAATTGCACTCCTGATACCTGAGAGCACCCATCAACAACTCGGGAAACTGTGGGACGGCATTTCAAGCTCTCTACATGCAGCTGCAAACGAAACAATTGGATTTCGAAAAGGTCACAAAAAGAGCTGGTACGATAAGGGCTGCTGTGACGCAGTGGAGAGAAAGCAGATTGCCTACCACGCGATCGATCACTACACTTGGATCGGATAGATACCGAGACTTAAGAGGGAAGCAAGACGCATATGTAGACAAAAAAAGAAATAGGCCGAGATACATGACTTACAGAAATTTTCAAGACCGGACTCTTGTAGGACTCAAAGAGGTGATCTAGGACGAGTTTACTGGATTTTTGAAGGGGATACATCACCAACCTTCTGAATGGGGATGAAAGTCTAGCACCAGCGGTTGGACCCGATTCCTCAGTCGATGACGATGAGACAAATATTTCATATCCCGAATATGATAAAGCTGCGGGGTTGATGGATTGACTGCCGAGCCTTTCAAATACGGCGTTAAAGAACCTATAAAGCTCATGCATCAGTTTCTTTAAAATCATCAAAGCATGGCTGACGATTGGAACTAAAATGCTCTGCGCCAACTACCGTCGAATAAGCTTCCTTAGCATATTGTGGGAAAGACTAAAGCCCTCCGTCATCATACTGATTGGACTTTATCAGTGTATCTTTAGACCTAGTAAATCCACCATTGATCAGATATTCACGAAGAGAAAAATCTTAGAAAAGACCCGTAAAAAGAGGACCGACACACACCACCTTTTCGCAGATTTTAAAGCCAACTTCGGCTGTATGAAAAGTAACTGACTCTTGCTCAAGGAGCTATGTCTGATCTATCGTTCTCTACTAGTTGGGAGTGGGAAATACTGCAGCCGATGGATAGATGAGTTGCAAAAGATATGCTGCAATAGTGACATAGTTTATAGAATCAAGAAACAGCTGCTGGACTGTTGAGGTCATGTGGACTGCATGAATAAAAGCGCTGCAGCTTTGAAAGTTTTCGATGCACTTCCCACCGGTGGAAACCGAGGAAGAGGAAGGCCTCCACTCCTTTCGAAAGACCAGGTAGTGCGGTGTCTACGTCAGTAAAGAAGAAGAAATATGACTTATACCTGCTAGTACGGCATCATCATTTCTAAAATATCAGTTTCTTTGAGGGAAAAATAACTATTTTCTGAAGAAACTCTGACTGGTTTTTAACTATTTCCTTTGACTAAAAATGACTTACTCAAAGATTTATACATACATAAATATTTCATTGAAAACTGAAAAAGCAAAATCTTTATTTTTTATTTTTTATAAATTCTCATTTATTGCATAAACATAACAGTGCAGTGTAAGGCCGCATCAACTGGAGTTCCTTCAGTAAACTAATGCAAATCTGAGTATGCATGCATTCATGAGTATGTGTTTGTGCGCATGCATATACACTTCCAGTAGAGAACATACAATAATATACCTAGATTTGTATCTTAAGTTTCTCGACTTCTTCACCATTATGCTCGCACAGAAGATGGCAAAGGATGTCAGTTGCAACACAAGCTACTAATATCCTTGTTAAGTTTATTAAATATTATTTATGGATTTGTTTAATTTGTATTTAGTACTGTGCCAAGACTGGCTATAAGACATCTGTGCAAAACCAAAAAGCCAAGTACAAACAAACAATACGAGAGGATTAACAAACGTTCGGTCAGTTGGTGACTTTCAAATTGTTTTTGTTAAATCTTAAAATAACAAATCCTTTGAAGTTACTTTATTAGTCTTCTTAACAAACTTTAGAATGTTCTCCTAAAATGAAGACGAGAAATGGCAAGATAGATAAGGAAGGTCAGACACAATTCCACCACCAACGCAAACAGAAAATCGCCATGGGATTCATTTCGGTTTTCGGTGTAATTTACCGCCAATAAAAATACATATGGAACGATCGCATCGTCTCTTTAGACTATTTCTAAGTGGTTTCAAAGGTTCCAGAACGCACATTTTTCCGTAGATGTCGACCAAAATCGCTGATGACGTCTCTGTAGTTCCGATGAAGTCCAAAGTCGACAAAGACCCACGATTGACATTAACAATAATTGCTAATGAATTGGGCTTGAATACCAAAGCTGTATAGCGGATATTAAGCAATCATCGGTGATACACAAAAAAATCTGCTCGATGGGTACCACGAATTTTAAAGCTCATAAAGAGGTTCGAGTGCACTATGCTTAATTTTTCCCAAACAAATTCGAAAATGGTCGGCTTAGCAACTCTGGTGACGAATCTTGGTTCGATAAATAAGATCCAGAAACCAAACCGCCGCCCATGGTAAGACGCCCAACATAAGAAAACAAACCCCTAAAATCTCAGAATCAAAAATGAGCAGCAAAAGTAATGATGCCAATTAACTTTACCCGATCTGAAATAGGAGCTGGTATTCCACTGGAAATAGGTCAGACGGTAACTGCGAAATGGTACACCGAAGAGTGTTTACCAAAACGTTTCAAAAATTTCTTGGAAAACAGGAAGAGAGAATTGCGGCGTTACTTTTTTACTTTTTTCATGACGACGCGTCATCCCATACTGCTGAAATAACGAATAATTTTATTGCGATTTCTGGGATCGAAGCAATACGTCCGCACCATATTCGACGGATAAAACCTCTTTCGATTTCTGGTAATTTTCAAAAAATCAAAAAATCAAAAAGAAAGGTCTTTAATAGCAACGAGGAGATAATTAAAGCAGCAGATAAATGCTTAACTTGATAAACTTAAAAAGCAAGAATTTGAAGACTGTTTTCAGAAGTGGATCTGTAGGCTTAAGAACTGCATTGCAAAGATTACAAATAAACACAAACAGATTTTTTTTCAGCTCAACTTACCAAACTTTTGTTAATCCCCTCGTATGTAGTTAAATAACATCAACTAATCGCCGAGTGAGCAAAGCAAACTACCAATTTATGCTCATACATACATATGCATTTTGTGGATCTAGTCTAAGGTGGACTTCATTTACTTCCTTCTTTTTTGAAAAAAAAACAAACGCAATTTAGTAAATGAGCGCGAAGAAAATTTTGTTTAAAGTAGAGAGGAGTTGCTTATGAAAGTTGAGCTTGTGGAAGGATATGGTCTTCCATATGTATATATGTACATAATAATTAATAAGCTTATTTGAAGAAGCGTATATTTGGAAGTTTACTCAAAAACAGTAAGAGATTTTAAAACTAGAATAATGCTACCTAGTAAATTTGATCATGCAAATCCAGTTCTCTCCTGACTTGAAAATTGTCCAATAAAGCGTAGAAATTTAAAAAGAACTGCAGTGAAAAGCTTTATATTCTAGCTTCTGCAGAATTGAGCAATGTTTTAACTGCACTAAAGTTCATATTTAATACTTTTATACCATTCTTCTTCATTAACAGATCAGCAGGTCAGTAGAGATTGCCTTTGCCATCATTGCCTAAGGTCATCAGTAAAGACTAAAGTTCTTATTAATAAAATAAATTCAGAAAACATTTCTACATATTTAAGAGTCTTTCTGAATACCAATAGAAAGCTTACAACGAACTTGCAGCTGTTAGCTAGCACTATCGAGCACTGTTGGATAGCAGAGATGTCATTCTGTTTGGTTAATATGAAAAATAAACTTTAATAATAATAATAATATTTTTTTTTAATAATAATAAAACTGTTAATTTTTAAAAATCACAAAACTCATCGTTAACGTTAATTTGGAAATAGCTGCCTGCTATGAGATTAACAGGTTATTATGGTTCGATTTTAAAGTTTGGCAGTTCACATTCAACATCACCTGTTAACAATTTAACATATCTGTTAAGGAGTTAGCATTCAACATTAGACTGGCGGTGATGAAATCCATGTTTTTTTTTTTTTTTTTTTTTTGAATGCTCCCACGGGAGGACCGATTTCTTCTAAAGCTAAAACTATGATATTTATTTTATAACTATTTTTTTTAAAAGCGGCACACATTTTTTCAAAAAGATTGATTTTTAACTAAAATAATACGCACTAAATTATTTAAAAGAAAAGGTAACATTTAATCGATAACCGGCTGCATACTTCCAACAAAAGAACTGTATTCGTGAAGCTGTTATCAAAATTTCAGATAAATCGATGCAATAGGGGCCGAATAATCTGTCCACGTGGTTTGAAAAATGTCATTTTTAGAAAAACGCATTTGAATTCTTCATTGTACTCAGCGCGCGCTGATAAAAAATTAAAAAGTTCAGCTAATTGAAATAAACTTTTCGTTTTTAAACCAAATGCCTAACATTTCTATGAGCAAATAAAAACGCCTGTATATAAAATCCCAGAGTGGCTTTACCTCGATAGACTCGAAGACTCTTCAGGCTAATTCTTCAGATCGGTCGTTATTGTCTTACTTAAACCCTCTACGAGCCTTCATCATCCATGCTGCTGCTGTGTATTACCGCTTCCAGGTTGCTGACACGTCCTTTAGAGAGCAGGTGTGCCTGTCAAGTAGAAAACTGCTTGGCAGTCTGTTGTGATTGCAGCAGTAGTTTGGTGTTACAGCCAAGGCGGTGTTGATCAATCTCAGCCCGTTGGCGGATGTTTTATGATAGAGGTTGAAGTCTACGCTTTGCCGTAGGCGCGAGGGTACACAAATTCAACAACATATTTGGACTTTTTGTAGCACCGCTGTAGTACACGTCGCAAGAATCTGCTCGTTTCCATTTTTGTCCCGTGCACGCGCTTCTGGAATGGCAGTGAAGTGTCAGCTTTAACTTTTACGAAGACATCAACAGGCTGCGCAAGGGCACCTTCACAATTAAGAAATCGGTAGTGATTATTTCAGGGGTCTTCATCAAAAAAATGGTCCCTCGTTTCATTTAATTTTTCATAGAAATATATATTTTTATGTGGTGAGTCTCCAAACCCACACATAACCACTGGGCGCCGTGCTTTCTCTCTTTACGTCGCTTCCAAACGCTTATTTGTGGGACACCAGAGCATACTTAGTGTAAGCCCAGAGGTCGGATGAGTGACAGTCCAAAACTCCCTCCTCTTTCTTGAACTTCTACGCTTGGTGCCATCATCCTACTAGATTTTACAGGAAGCTTATAAAAACTCCGCACTCTACGCTAATCTACAGAAATTTTAAAAAATTCAGATTTAGTCAGTTTGTAATTACAGAAAAACATGGACTATTTTTATTTTATTCTTCCGGCATGCAAACCCATTCAAAATTTTTCTGCATTTCATTCGCAATTGCTATTTCATCAATAATTTTCTTAAATATACTCACATAATAACAATATGCATACATACATACATACATACATACATATACAGAGGAACTCACATTTCTACAATGCACTTTGACAATTGTTTTTCTCGGTTGTTAATAAAAATTTATGATTATTGTTTGCACATTTTTTATACTGTCAAAATTACAATAACAAAAAATCCGGCTTTTTGCAGAAAACAAAGTTAGTTTGAGGTGAAATATGTATTTACATATGTACATATTTATGTATATAGTTGACAAATTTTTCTGTGAAAATCAATGTACAAATGCACTATGCCAAGCAACAGCGCAGGGAAGGGTCTCCGCAGTGTCCATTTAAATACTTGCTAACTGATGAAATACGATAGACCCATACATGTGCATACACACGAGTACATACATACATACATACATATATCATATTTATATAGCAGGAGTAGGCGCCATATCATATTTTGTTGAGCCATCCCTTTCAATTTATGTTGTTGCTTTTCCGCATGTTGGCATTGTCATGCATATCATGAATTTATGTGCTTGCAGTTAGAGTGCGTGAGCGGATGGGAGAGGCAGAGGGAGTGGCAGGAAGAGAGCAATGCAAGTGCAATGTGTAGGTGACGCTGTTTGTTGGCGTCCAATTGTCAAGCAATAAATCGATCTGTCGAATGTAGTAAATTGTCACGCGTATTTGTTACCAATTGCTTTCACGGCATCTCCTCTCCCCTTCACGTAGTTGGGCCGACTGTTATTGCATTGCCAATGCAATTCGTAAAAAAGTGCATAAAATGCATTTTCGAAAAAAGCAACTCAAACCATTTCCGCTACGCATTCAGTCACGTATTCATAAATAAAACAAGTCGTTTTTTTGTCATTTCTTCTCTGAAGAGTTTTTCAGATCCGTAGGGGGGATCGCCAGAGGTTTGCCAACTAAATTGGGAAATAGAAAGTTTTAAATAAATTTGAGTTTTTGTCAAGCTACGCCATAACAGAGTTGGATAGCTCGCACTGCGTGGTAGATGTTTTCATTAAGAGGCGACTAAAATTCCAAACTCGGGTCTTTGTACCGGAAGGGCTCGGATTTCTATACGGCCAACGAATGTCCCATTGCGGAATATTGTTCCCAGGCCTAAAACCTAAGCCCGGGACAGACGGGTCTTCTTTTTACAATAGCGAAATTATCAGCCTCATAAGGTTGGAAAGAGCAGTATAACCGTACCAACCTTATAAATCGAAATCCGGAGAGCTTTCGGCATATCAGCCGACCGCCTTTCTTCTAAAAATACATGAAAGGTTACACGACAACTACATTCGACGAAGGATACCCCAAAACAACCTTTCGAGGAAGCAACACTTTCACTCTAAAGGAAAGTCCGTAGAAACACCGTATCACAATATAGTCGGATGTATGAGAAAGAACTGGCTGTTAAAGAATACAACACAATATTCTTCCCGAGGCTATAATAGAAGATCTTCAGGAAATTGCTCTTGCATATAAAATTGTAAGGCTCGGGCAAATCCTTCCAGAGAAATTTTTATTGGTATTACCAGATACATCACAGGACTGTCCCTCCTTAGTAGTATTATATCCACTGCTTTGGTGCCACGCAGATTTGTTAACTAGATTGCGCGCTGACAATATTTACTTAAAAGCAACAGGGGAAACACCCCTTCACATAATAGAAATCTGGAGCAAAGTAAGAGGGCTTGATGTCAATTCGGAATGGTACATTTCTAAGAAGATATAAACCACGTTCTTTTATACAATCCAAATTAAAAGGAATGGGATTCACTCTCTCTGCCAAAGTCAAATATCTCAGGTTACTTCAAAACTCGGCGAGAAAGCTATTACTAATGAAGCCGCTTATTGTTTTCTAGACTCATGTTATTCTACGGGGTCACCGTCTCATGACAAGCACTAGAAAGAACTACCAAACGGCAGCAAAATTAGAATAGTTCAGCGTGCGGCAGCTATCCTCATCACGGGAACTCTCTCTGTCGAAACCTTCAAAAGCTCTGAACATGCTCCTCATTTTTTTTCATAGTATTTGAACACAGCTCAACCTTGGAGGTATCGCAGAACAGGTCTGCCCAAGTATTATCTCTTGCATGATTTAAAGCGATGTTGGACGGTGCCACCTTCACCTAATGTTTAGACAAACTCTTTTCCACAAAAATAGATAGATGAATGGGAAATTTGAAATACTCCGTTGCAAAGTGGCATAGCCATCTTAATGGATGGTTCTCAATTTCAATGCGGCGGACGAGCAAACAAGGGAAGAAGCCTCTCTAACTACAATAAATCGAACACGGCAAAACTTAGGCTTAAACTACACTTCACCAAATAAGTTGAATTCTAGCTGGCTTAACTTTTTACGTCAATAGACAATTTTAGACGGTGTTGGACGCTTAAAGATCAAGAAGTCTAATTCTCTTGGACCGGTTCACCATTAATAAAACAGCTGTACACTAACTGGATATTGTTCAACGGGGAAACGCGGTAGGAGAATGGAGTACTTACTATTCGAATGACTTTTTTCGAAGCTGCAGAGATGGAGAAGAGGAGTAGTCTCACTCATTGCGTTCTCAATAACTTCCAACTATGAACTGTGTTAATATTTAACAGTTATGCGTGCCCATCTCAAAGGGGCTGAAAGAATCGTGGATGAAAGAGACCTAAATTAGCTGAATGCCTAAACTCGTGCTGCAGCCTTTCATCCTCCTCTGTACATACTGTACACTCAACCCATTTCACATTAGTTTGAGTCTCATTAAAGTTTTGAATACCTAATTTGCAATCCTAGACCCCACCTGGCTCAAATAATATGTTACAGGAATTCTATATTTGGAGCGCTTTACCGTCCTCCATTCAATAAGTTCCCTCTTGCTAAATTTTTTGTGAAGAATTAAACCAAATTAGGTAAATCTTTGTTAGTGCCCAAGTGAGAACGGGCTGCAGAAAGCGGCAATATCGGAGAAAGCGAATGTACTACAGAGGAATATGGCTGAGAGAGGCACAGGGTATATAAGATTTGTACGGCTCACGGCTTTTTCTAACAATAAGTGATATATGTAGTTATGAGAATGTGCCCCTTAAACTTCATAGCATGACAAGAAATGTCAACTTAGCCACGGCTGTATGACTTAAAAACAGTACTTTTGCCACATCTACTCATCCTTAGTGCGCTCTTTAGGAGAGAAGACTGTCATCAAAGTAGGGGACTTCCTCACAGTACCAGGGGAGGGGAGTTTAGTTTTGGTCTCGTCCGTAGTAAGGAGCGTATCTCATGTGTACCCTCTACTAGATCGTACACAGAAGGTCACTAGAGGAAACCGTGTAGTGGGTAGACGTCGAATTTTTACTACAATGCGGGAGATCAGAGGTCGAATAGGCAAGACAAACTTCCAAAATAATTATAAAATTGATTTAAATTTTTTTATCTGATCGCTACCTCCCCTCAAAGTCGATTATCGTATGACCATAATGCTCCGAATAAACAGTTACAGTCTCGCCGTTGTCGTTTTCAAAGGAGTAAGGTCCAATAACACCTCCGGACCAAGAGCACAATGGCCTCTTCTCTTTATAAGCGTAAAAAGCAAAATTTTGAAGATTGTTTTCTGAACTGGATTTATAGGATTGAAATCAATGGCGATTATTGAGAGAAGAAAAAAAGAACAAAGTTTACGAATAAATGCAAATGGAATTTTTTTTCTTGTTTTTCTGGTCAACTTACCGAACTTTTTCTAATCCCCTCGTATATGCACCAAAATCTCTTCTTTAAGTGCGAATCGTCGCAATCACCATTTTTGTAGGAAGTTTTAACAATTTTGACTCGTTATGCTGGTGTTAAGCGCTTCATTTTCACATTGAAAAAAAAAAAATGTTTGATTTCACAGTAAAGTTTAGTAGATGTCAAAATACAACGCTGTACTTCCGAAACCTGAAAATGGATAATCCTATTCGGTTTCAACCGAACTAAGAACTGTCTTACTTTGCTCAGATTTCTTCCTTGCATAACTCGCAAACCCTTCACATGCTATGCAAATAGTGTATGTACATACAGCTGTTTGTAATGTGTTTGGCAATCGAGCTGCATTGGACCTTTGTTTTACTAAATGCATTTCTTTCTTTCGCTTCTGCGTTTCTTTTTTATGAAGCTTTTAGATGGATTTTTTTATTTTTTAATTTTTACCTTTTCATTGCAATGCTGGATGTGCATGTGTGTGTGTGTCGGTGTTGTACATCTAACATGCCACACTTTACCACCCAACGTACCTTAGCTAGCAGCCTATCCATCAAGCGCATAAATCAGACGAAGCCATCGAAAAATTCCACACCGGATGTCCGCTTTTTGTTATAAATTGCAACGCACAAAGCGCATTGCCATATAAATTCGCCCCACTGAGAGTAGCACTAGTATTTGTTGTAGTAGCAGTGAGCAGACACAGAAGTATTGACCAAATGGATAAGGTACAATACAATGGTCGCATTGACCAAAATGCCGGCTGGCACGAGATATAACCGCTGTTAGCTCATTGCAGATGACAAAGCCGCTGATGATTGCTCGGGTAGCATTGTTGAAAAGTGCAAAAACGCAAAAATATGCATTTGCAGCACTCTTAGCAATGTCAGCGATACATGCACATACACACCCACCCATCAGTACACCCACACACACACATACACATTTGCATAACAAGTTACAAAAGAAGTTGAAACAGCAAAAGAAAAAAAGAAATAAAAGGCAAAAACATGTCGATCGTAAAAACATTGAAAATCCATAAAAATGCATCATAATTTCTCAACGCATCGAACGGAGGGTTGATGGTATTCGCAAACACATACACATACTTATATGCATATAAGGCAACAGCACGCACACCTTCCTGAGCAGGCGCAGCAGCGTGCGGTGGTGGATTATGCATCAATGAATGGCCCAACAGCCTCGTCATGCGACAAAGGCCCGCAGGATGCAGGTTGTATAATGCCTTGGTTGCGCTTTGTTTACATGCTTACAGTGCACAAACAACATACATGCAAACATACAAGTGTATCAATGCAAAAGGGGTGTGTGTGTTGTGTTGTGTTGTGTTGGTGTGGCAGTGTCCTTCCATAACTGTCAAAGCATACTCAACTCAAAAATATATGAGAAAAAAAAATGAAATAAAATTTTTTGGCAATATTTCATAAATATGCATGCATCATATTTTACACAACTACATGCACGTACCAATACTACCACACATGCATAAAAGCATCAAAAAATTGAAAGAGTATCAATTGAATACAATCCGATGATGCATTCTTTTGCAAAACACCCTAAAACAAAAACAAATGGAGCAAGTTTAATGTCCACCTACTGTATTTTTGAATATACTTGTATATATATTTATTTGTATGCACATATGTATATATGTATACATATATATGGCTACTCAAATTGGTAAACTAATAAATATTAGGGTTATTCTTATAATAAATTTCATTATTTTCTGGTACACACACTTATGATGTAAAATACATACATAAAGGGTGATCTATTTCGAGTACCTTTTTATAGCAAAAAAAAAACGAGAAGACTCAACTTTAATGGGGGATATTTATTATCATTCGAAGGAACATTCTTTGGTATTTAATTTTTTTTCTTTACAGATTATATTTTTCAAATGTTGGCCGCGCCTACCTCTCAGATGTTCCATCCGTTGAGTGAAATTTCCGATGACTCGTTCGAGCATTTCAACTGGTAACTGGAGAATGAGACACGTGATGTTTTGCTCCAAGGCCTGAATCGATGGCGAAGATCGTCCGCATAGACTTTAGACTTTACATATACCCACAAGAAAAGCTCTAACGGTGTGATATCAAAAGATATTGGTGGCCCATGCATTGATTGATGCGATGTATGGTATGTGGCGCCATCTTGTTGAAACCAAATGTCGCCGAGATGACGAGCTCTAATTTTAGACATAAAATAGTCGGTTATCATGGCGCAATAACGGTCGTCATTGACGGTTACGTTCAATAAACATGGACCGATGATTCCACCGGCCTACGAACCAAACCAAACCGTTGTTGTTTCTGGAATCCCTTGAAACTCTTCCGGTTGCTCTTTGAATCAAATGCGACAATTTTGCTTGTTGATATAAACCTTGAGACAGAAATGGGTCTCTTGGCTGAAATTTGGCTCGAAAACGCCGAATCTTTCGCATCTTTTAAGAGCTGACTGAGCGAAGCGATGTTGCTTGCGAAGGCCGAGCGGCTAAGAGTTCATGCACGGGCTATATTTTGTACGATTTAAATTTAAGATCTCGACGTAATATGCGCAAATTCGTTCCATACGTCCGTCCGCGTTGGTTCGTACGGCGCCAAATCGACTCTCCGCGATTTTCGTGTACACTCTCAGCTACGGCCGCTATATTTTCTTCACTGCTCCCTGGGCGTGATATATTCGTGAACAAAAATAATATGACAACGTGACACGACTCACGCGTGATCTGTCAGAAAAACGAGCAGCTCAGCTCAATAAATGAGCTTTTCCCCACAGAAGATCACGAAGCTTTAATTGACGCCGCTCGCTCTGGACGCTTTAGAATGAAAATGTTGCTATGAAAGCGTAAAAATTTATTTAAACAATTCGTTGAATCTTTGTGCCTGACCCATACCATGCAATTTGCTATTAAAACCTGGGCTTACACGAGGTCTTAAAGCGAGGAGCGTAAGGGTTTACTTTGGGCGACTAACTAATTTCTGCCTGTTACTTGAATTTTTGTTTTATAACAAAAATGCAATTGATGATGCAATGGAGTTTACCTTCGTAAGGTCCAGATCAGATATCTAATTATATTATCAGTGTGCGTCTTCCCATCCATACTGCTTGAGCGATTGGCATCTGCGCAGTGTCAAGTGCCTCCTATGGCATTGGCTAAAGACTACAATTTTTTGTAACGAGCCTAGTGCACAACTTGAATACATTTCACATTCCCTCCCATCCGCTAAGACACGAGGGCTACTCTTTACATCTCGGCATTTGGTAACCCTAGTGTTGCAATATGGCAACAGATTGAGATTTTAAATCTTTGTAAACCGGACATCCTCTATAGAAAAGAGACCGAAAAATGTTTTAGTTTTTCGAATCGTATCTGTCAGGTTTCCACCATTTTATTATTTCAATGAGTTGTTGTTAAAATTTAAAAAAATTACAGCTTCAAAGGTGACATCTAATCCCGCAGGATATTCAAAATAACACCTCTTTACAACACGATGTCGGCCATGGTTGCAGCTTTTAAGCGGTTGCATAGGTCTTGAAACTTCAAAAAATTCAATTTTTTGATAATATTTTGTATAAAAGTACAAAGTGTCAGGAATATTTCCCCAAGTTTCAAGTCGATCGAGACAAAACTGTAGAAATTAGAGAGTTTTATAATCCGCCATCTGTGTCATGGTTTGACCGATGATAAAACTTTAAGCGCGTTTTTCTTAAAACCACTACATTGAAATCGAAAACTTCTCAACGACTATTGAAGCGATCGCGTTCAAAATTTCCACAATTCTTTTAAGCATGTTTCTGTAGTCCCTAAATGAAGGATTTATTTTATCTTTGATTCCAACTCATTTTGCAAGCCTAATTTTATGCAAGAAATGACGTTTTTGTAAAAAAAAAACGCTATAAAAATTTCAATTTTTAATGTTTAAAATTTTTCGTCGTTCAGGGACAAGGAAAATTCACTTACTTAAAGAAAAAATTTGGTTTTTTGCTTTCAGATTAAAATTGAAAAAGTTATCATGACTACCGCGAAAGCATTTTCTTGTCTACGGTCTATTTCACGACAAGGCCAACGCCCTAACTTATACTATTTTGCATTCAAATTTTCATCAAATGTTGTCCATATATTGTACTTTAATACGTAAACAAACTAATTTTATATTTTATTTAGTATCTTTTAAAAAAAATAAAGAAGATAAAAAGCCTTCAAGACCTATGTAACCCCTTAGAGGGGATAATTTGCGAGCAATTAAAGAAATCAGAAACGCTTCTAATTGTGAACATTGTTAAAACATTAACAAATTTTAGCATAAGATTATTGGTATGAGTCTCAAGCACAAGAATATATTTAATTTCCTTGCTTCACATACTCTAAGTCCATCAAAGACATGTGTGTGGAAATTATTTACAACAACTCATATTACCAATTTCTATAAACCTTATTATGAATGTTTTCATAAACACATTAAATGAACTATAATGCATGCATACATACTAACAAATCCTTTAATTGAATGTTTACATACATACGTACATGCATGGATGTATTGTACTTATATGAGTGTGGCATGCGCAAAGATATTAAAAGCGCCAAAACGTTGCTCCGTTTGTCATTTTTAGTAGACAAATTCAAGTAATTACGTTCATGTATTAGAAATGGTAACATATTTTTATAATGTCTCCATCGAATGTCATGCTATGCGCATTTAAACACATAAACATATACATACATATCAAACATAGCAATTAAATGCGTTATGACAAGACAAATAAGTACTATTTCATGAAATATTCCTACCTCTTCCAGTTGAACTATGGCAAATAATCTAAACTGCGAAGCCAAAAAGGGCAATCAAAAGCAATGGATTTACTTCATACATTTGTATATACATATGTACATATGTTTGTATAGCGATATGTGTGTATCTACAAAGCGCTCTAAATCCCATTCATAACACATTCGAATGAGTTAGTGTTTACAAGTACATACATATATACCTATTAAAAATATAGCAAAGGAGTCAAAAATACATAAATACACACATACATACATGTGTATATATGAAGTCCACTAAGCTATTATTAACATTTGTTGTCAGCAGCAATTAAAAGTGTATGTGCGCAGGAAAAATCATCTTCACACTTATTAAAGCCATCTTAACCGCTGTAACACTTATTATATGTATGTATGTATGTATGTTTGTTTATTGCAAACGCTTTAGAGAATCAAAGGCGAAAAGCACACTGTTACTACATATATACTAGAGCTCAAAATTTTTTGCAAACATTTTCAAACATAGCTTTTGGGCATTTTGAGCAACGAGAACTTGCATACTTTTTTATTGCTCATCGCTCACTGCGCGAAAATTTTGAAATTTATTCTGCAAAGAGTAAGGCTCATTGAAATACAAAAGAAAGAAAGCTGAAGCCATGATACAAGAATATTCTATAAGGTAGTTTCACATCGAAATTTTACTGATTTTCTTAGGCGGCAGAAGTAAGAAAAGGTTTTGGTAGATAAATAATTAAAATGGAAAGAGTTGACATTTTTTTTACTGCTTTTCGAGATTTAGACTTATAGGTTATCTCGACAATATGGGAATCATACGTGACTTAGGGCTCTGCTCATAGGGACACGCAGGAAACTGCTATGTCGATGAGCTGAAGGGTTAGGGATAGTCCTAACTCCGATAAACTCTGCCGCCCGCTATCGATTTCTCAGAAATAGTTTCTTCGATTGCTTGTCATAACTTGCATCTTTAGGCATTATTAATCTGCTGAACTTCGTAAAACATGTTTGAGCATCTGGAAGGTGAAAGGAATCTTCTTCATAGAACTAACATGGGTATCATCAAGAGATCAGAGCTCCGCGATCGAGCAAACTGTTTAACTACCAGTTAGTTAGTAATATACTAGGTGTAGTAAAAAGAATTCCATTATTTTTGCATGAAATTTAAGGCTTAAATTTTTTACTTTTCGCATCCAGTTTTATTGAAATGATTCTAAAAGGTTTGGTGTGCATGCTTTATCTCTTGATTAATCGAAAGAATGCCTTGCGTTTTCGCCCGTATCGAAGAAAAACTGATAAACTGTATATGTGTATATTGTTCCGGGGAATTAAAGTTTTCTTGTTGCGAAAACTTCAAAATTGCAGCACAAAAAATTGTATCATTAATTTTGATTGCTTTAATTCTCCACTAAAATTTAATATAAATCATTCGAATTTTTAAACGTGATTTTCTCACAAGCTCTTTAGCAGACAAAGAAAATATGCGAAAATCGGTTTTTCTATTAAATATTTTATAATGATGCCCGTTCGCTTTGAATTTTGATCATTTTTAACGCTTTTGACATTACTTTCTCATAGTGTTAGTTTTAGAAAGTTAGAGTTGCTAGCTACAGAATTTTTTTCTTAAAAGTTAATATAAATTTCCATAACTTGATTAATTTACAATATTTTTAAAAATTAAAATACATTTGTTCGCCATTGAACTATTCAGAAGGTTTTCATATCATGAAAAGTTTGAGGATTTTAATGCCAAAATGTTACGCTGTTTCATAGATAAAAATTATGCATATATTTTTAAAATGCCCCCAACCCACAAATCGAACCAACTTCGTCATTATGCACTTGATTTCCTTCTTGTCGTAACCTTCTATTGTATGAACTTTGTATCATAGCTAAAACATATTTATAATACAAAAAACAATGTCGTTTCACTCAAAATTTTTTCAAAATTATTAACCACCTAACATAAAAAGATTTTTTGACTTTTGCATTCTTTTTGTACTAACAATTTCATTTTAGAAAAAATATATTTTCAACTTATTAAAATTAAAAAACAAGTATTAGGCAGCACACCAATTACTGAATTTTTTGTTCTAACAAGTGAAGTTATGAAGTTTTATTAGTAAAACAGTGAAAATATAATGAATTAGTGATAATAACATTAACATTTAGTAGATCGACCCTTCGATTTAATAACGGCACCAATTCTCTTAGGCATGCTGCGTACAAGCTTTGCACATTCGTCCGCACTTATAGCGTACCACTCGTTAATTAAGGCATTATTTAAGGCAGTTTATGATGTTACACTGTGTTCCTTAACCTTGCGTTTTAAAATAGCCCACATGTGCTCAATGGGATTGAGATCTGGAGACTGTGTAGGCCAATCTAACAAAACAATATTGCTATCTCTAAATCAACGCGTCGTAGTCGCTGATTTGTGACAAGGAGCCCCATCTAAATAAGTGTCGCAGAAAATGCGCGCTAACGAAGGCAGATGAACAGCTTCTAATACATTTATGTACTTTTGACGGTCCATGCGACCCTCGCAAACGAACATTTCGCCGGCACCATCAGCAGTCATGCAGACCCAGTTCATAATGCTGCCGCGTGGTACCCTCGCAATCTGGATGATATTCTTCCTCAACCCGTCGACTCACGAACGTCATACAAGATGTATCTCAAATCAAATCAAATATCTGTAGAAAAAAAAATTCTCTAGGGTAAGAAGCTATGGCTGTTAATACTTTAAAACTATCTTAACTAAGCTTACCTCGAAGTTTGATTCATCAGACCACAGAACATTCGACCAATCTTCTTCCGTCTGGTTTCGGCTCCTTTCGGACTTTACATCCTTCTAAACCAGCTTCCAGAAGTCTTCTTCTAGCTGTTCGAGCACTAACTGGTTTACTAAATTCATCCGAAGGGGCAGCTGCAAGAGCAGTTAAACGCCTTCTTCCACTTTTTGATTTATTATTGTGGGATTTTGTCCCCATTCACATAAAGAAGTAGTAACTTTGATTGCTAATACTTGTATTGATTGAGAATACTTGTATTTTAGTGGGGTGCCTAATACTTTTCGCCAAGGCTGTACATATGTATAACAAAAAATACAAAATAATTCAATATATACAAAAAAAACATAAGAAAATTGCATTGTATTTTCCGAATTCTAATGGAAATAAAAATATTTTCACGCGGCTTAACACTTTCCATACCAAAATAAATGAAATATTTTTAAAATGAAAATATCATGAAGATCATGGTTAAAATTGCAAGTTTTCAAACAAAGATTTCAGTAGTTGGGCAACGAATGAGTATTGAGCGAGCTGCCCGATATCCGAGTATCTGCAGACTGAAACTGCACTGGAAATAACGTATTGTCCGAGCATAGTGACAAAGTTTCGACCATTTTTATATTTATTTTCCAAATCTGACAGTAAAACTTTAAATTTAACGCTTTTTTAGAAAATACCTGACAGCCGTTGCTTTACTAGCTGGAGCTTCGACAATTAATAGCTATCTTGTAAAAGAGAGAACCAGAGGTAGCGAACCCGAATAGTTCGAATAGTGATTGCCCGTTTAAGGAAAATAAAAGTGACATCACCGTTTTGTCGATTTTAAAGCTAACTTAGATAGCACGAAATTGAGCTGCGACGATCATAACTTTAAAGTTGTAAACGACATTGTCTATTAGGGAACAATCCTCATATCCGCCTGGAAATCTTACGAAGAATAACTCTCTCCAACTGGTGTTCTTAGGACTGCATAGACAATAAAAAACGCAACTCTGGTATGCAGACGCTGCAAAAAGACTGCATATAAGACCGAACCCTTAAGCCTAAATGATGGAGTGTTGCATGACTCAAGCAGCAGAGGAGTTGCTCACATTTGCAAAGTGTGCGACGGGGACCCAAGTGCAGAACACCTGTAAATATATATGTACCTAGACGTACAACTTTGGTCATTATCATCAAAGCCGTCATATCATTATATATCCATATGAGTGTGTGATTAAATTCCTTGTAAAAACAAAAAAAATGTTTAAAGACATGTCATCGGCTCCTCAGGGCTCTGCCCCTTCATATACGATGGTGAAAAAATCGGCTCGGCGATTTCAACAAGGAAGAGATGCCTGTGAAGATGACAGCCGCCGCGTCTGATCGAAGAATTGAATTGTGTGTAGATAGTAAACGGATTACAGATAAGCAAAGAATGAATTGCAGAGATTTTGCATGAACACATGAATATGGAAAAAATTAGTGCGAGTTGAGTACCGCGAATGCTCACACGGCTGGACAAGCAACGACGATTGGAGAGCTTAAAACAGTGGATTGGAGCTTAGATTCGTCTGTATGCCGAGTTCAAACAAGAGACGATGGAGTGGATGAAAAAATTCAAAGTGGAAAAGTCGGCATCGAAGATTGAGGCTACAATTTTCTGGTATAGTTAGGGAATATTATAGAATGAAAGGGAACTGCAACAAACGCCCAGTATTACCTTAAGTTTTTGAAGCAGGCGCGTGAGGCAGGCATACAGGAGAGACGTGGCAAGTTAGCGCATTGAGTGGTGTTTCTTCAAGAAAACGCGCCCGTTCACACCCCACGGCTTGCGAGGAATGTCTTAAAAGCAACAGGATTTACAGAAATTTAATATCCACTCCACTGTCCGGACCAGGCTCCTAGTGAAAGTGAAAGGGGCCATAGAAACCCATTTAAGAATGTGTGAGAAGTGGTACAGAGGCATACACAATGTGGGAAGTGAATTTCACTTCGGGGAGATTTTATTGAAAAATTAAAAACATAAAACCATACCAAAAACCAAAAGTCAAGCTTGAACAGAATCATTTGTATGAAAAGAAAATTTCATCAAACTCACAGCAAAATCATTTGAGTAAAAATTTTGAAAACAATTGTTTATTTGTTTGCTTTAATATATTTTAATTGAAAATAAATCTTGTCGATTTACGCCGCCGCAATGAATGACTAAAATTTTTGCCAAATAACCATCAGACGGTCAACCAAATAAGCGCAAACAAACACACACACACACACACTAACTAACACAAAGCAGCCAACGCAAATGAGCATTCACTGATATCCTTTTCCTCTGCAAACACCTTTCCTTTAGCTTGCCACTGCGTCGCTTTGTAAATTACTTCCTGACGCTTTTTTTTTGCTTAGCTTAGATTGTAAGTATGTACGTGCAAGTGTATACATATGTACACATTAACATTGGTATGTCCATTTTAATTGTCGCTCCACAGTAGCCATTGTTGGCGGCGTACTCACAGCATTAGTAAGGTATCTTTTGTCCTTTTACGTAAACCTCAACAGGACACATTACTTATTTATATTTATTTCCTTTGAGTTTTGCATTTTTTCGTATCTATTTACCAGGTTTTTTTATGATCGCTTGTACTGAAATGCCTTCTTTTTTTGTAGTTAGTCCCTTGACTGGTAGTTGAGTAGTGTTCTTATACCAGACTGCATTGTGAGCGGTGGGCATTTTAATTTTGTACAGCAAAGGATTGAATTTTTTTTAACCAGTAGTTGGCGAGCCTGACTCCCCAATGGAGCAAATGTTTCAGTGCTCGACTTGCCCGACTATAAAGAACTTCGAATAGTAATCGCCCGTACTAAAAATACTTCGACGAAAGAGTAATAAGTTGCATGCATCATCATATGGCTTCAGACCTGGTAAATCAAGCGTTGACCAGAAATTGACTGCGCGCCAAATTATGCTAAAGCCATGTGAATAGAGAATCGGCAATCACCACCTCTTCATTGATGTTGGAGTAGCCTTTCGACAGTAGGAAAACGAGCTACCCTTACGCAGCTAGTCTGAATTCAGTATCTCCACAAAACTTATAGAGATGTGTAAACTGACCAAAAGCAACACCGAAAACACCGTCAGGATCAGGGAGGACCTCTCCGAACCGTTCGATACCAATCGACTTTTCAGACAAGGTGAATCCTTATCGTGCCACTTCTTGAATCCATTACTGGAGAAAATAACAATCTCTTTAGAACC